ATGTTGATAGATACCAAATTGAAAAACTTAAGAGAGAGTCGGAAAGGGATCCGTCGGAAAAGTGGCCGTCAGAAAGTTCCCTAGCGAAATGATCGGAAAAGTCACTATGACCGGCTCTGCTTGTTGGGAAAGATACAAGGTGGTTGCTACTGTTGAGTTGATCCCTTCGGTGGGTTTCTTTTTGTTCCCATCCCCGAAAAAGTACAAGTATGGGGTCCGGTCCGCAACTTTAGTCATTTTGTCATTTTGACTATCTCTAGGTTCGGGGTTAGGTTCAGGTGCATAGCACTTGAGTCTGACTCTCGTTCGCACTTCCTCGATAAAACGAATCCAAGAGATGGTCCGCGCAACGACTGAGGGCCGATTGAGAGATCACTGAGAGCAGAGATGGAGTTTCCCGGGGAGACTACCCTTGTGTCGAACGAGTGGCTAAGTCTCCCGACACAGACAACTGCCTCTACGTGGCTACTCTAGTTTCGCTAAAGGTTGTCAATCCTGCCAGGCACTGAGTCCTCAAACTCATGGCAGAATCTGCAAACATTGAGGAAAAGGAGGTGGAGAGCAACACATGCCACGTATCAGTACCGTGTCCTGGACAGCAATCTCTCATGTAGGAGAATGGATCGACTACTCAAGGCATGATTCAGATTCCTCATGACTAGATTGGAATGGGCTTTACTAGCAATTGGAGTACATCACATGTTGTCAGTAGTGATTGTAGGAATGTTAAAAGCTCTACATGTAACGTTTGAGACGAGAATTAGGTCAACGACAAGGCCCAAGGCTGAGAGCTGGACTTGAGAGAGGTCCCGCAACAGGATACTCTCGCGCGCGAGTTTTGCTGTCGGCATCTCAAGTTCATCGAAAAGCATGCCTAACACCGCCTTCCTCTGTTCCTCACAGACAGCGTGGAGTCAATGAGAATGAGACTGAATCATCAATTTTACATGGACGACCTCAGACTGTCACATCAGAATCAGTTCAGAACCTCCACAGTACAATTGGTCAGATGGTCTCCTATTGTGCCAAGCAATACGACTTTGAGTGAGGCATGCGATGTGCTCTAGCCAGCTGCCCTATGCACAGCCAGTCAACGTACGGATATACTGCTCACAGAAAAAGCGTTGCGCTGTCAGGTATTTGAACGAGTAACTAAACTGGTGCTGGAACATTACGAGGAACATTTTCTAAATCGCAGCTAGTCTTGGTAAGAAAGTTTGCGTCCAGCACTGTCAGTGGCTTTAATCAGTGAGGTTATCTTCTTGAGCAACTAAAAAGTCCGGTTCAGAAAACACCCAATCCATCACTTATCAGGCACGGAGGGTGGGGGCGGATCTATGGATGACCATGTGCTCGCAAGCCAGAAAGAGCTCACGAACTTTTACTGCAGGTTACTGTAGATAAACCGGACTGCGAGGACTGGAGGTCTCAGAGGATGGACGGCCACCAAGGGATGAGAAAACACTCTGACAGAAGACCTCAATGGTCGAGATTGCAAGAACTGTGAAAACTGGATAAAGAGATGTCCATACCTTTGGATCCAATGCATCCTGCAGAGGCAGCTGCCAATCCGCTGTGATCCTATCTAGCAACGATCCAGAAGTCGAGCTCTACTGGGATGAAGAGTGGCTCTCCGAGCAAAATCACATACAAGCGACCCGATGTCGTCCTTGTAGATCACTCTGCATAGAGTTATCAGGGGCCCGAGATGCAGTATCTTGGCCAACCGCATCCAAACGAATGGAGAATTCAAAATACATAAAATTCAGACCAGTCAGCCAAATCATCAAACGATGAGAGAACTGGAGACTAGCCTCTGCTCCATCACGTCAGCGCAATTCCAGTGTGCGGCAAAGGATTTATTCCCTTCGTCATTAGTTGCTGCGGAGAAGTCAGCAAAGATGCATCAGCCTGCCTTCGAGAGCTTGGTCTCCCAACCGACAAACAAGTCCTCACGTGCATGGAGCTAACTGGAAGGAGTACTAGTCCTCAGTACAGACCGAGTCATCAGAAACCACCTTGCAAGTGTAACTGGAGAGAGAGTGGAGTCAGCTCGAAGTCAAGAAGAGGAGCAGGTGATCGGTATGTAAACAGTCTGTACTATCTATCATATGTTATAGTACGAGTTATGTACGATTGTCAATACTAGTCATCATTTGTAGTGGTCCAGTCTGGTTTTCTATGTAATCGATTGGTCCATGGAGATATTATTTTATTGTGACATGTTGTTTGAAATAAAACTTTGTTATTTTGTTCTACACAGCGAGCAGACTCAAGAAGCGAGTTACCAGTGCAGCAATGCACCCTAACCAACTCACTTTACAGATACGAGCGAGTGAAGGGAGGAGTCGACTACAGAAACGCGAGGAATGAAAAGGTTAAAATTGGTGCAGATGGTTAAGAAGGGTGGTCAGAAAGGAAGAGCACTTATTGGTGGCGTGAGATGATACGAACTAGAGGCTGCTCGTACTGAAAGGGCTCGGACCAGCCATCCAGAGGGAGTTGAAAACGCAGACGAGGCAGGAGATGCGAACAACTGGGAGAGCAGATGGAAGAGCGAAGTGGGAAAGATGAAGGCGTGGAAAGCGCCAGGTCCGGATGGTATTCACGTATTCTGGTGGAAAAACCTGCCAGCCGCTAACAGGTTCCTTAGTAAATGGATAAGACTAAGGTTAACCACTGAGAACGTCCAATTCCCTAAGTGGGTTGCCGCCGGTAGAGTGGTACTACTGGCGAAAGAAAAGGGTAATAACGATCCTGCTTCGATGAGACCGATTACTTGTCTAAACTCAAGCTTTAAATGTGTAACGGCCATGATGGCCAATACACTGAAAACTCGAATATTTGAAACCCTGCCCTCCGCTCAAAGGGCGCTAAGAAAAGGAGAGTGGACCTGCACGCAGGCCCTCATAATCGACTCGTGTGTAGGTCTCGACCAAAGAGTAACAGGTCGAAGGGGCAAAGAACTACACACGGCATGGATCGACTTCGCCAAGGCGTATGACTCGATCCCGCATGACCTAGTATTATGGATCCTAAGTGCAATCAAAGCTCCAAGATTACTTCGAAAGTGCTACGGCCAAATGCTGGATGCTCTAAGAGTTTCGTACGTAACAGGGCGGGGTGACGCCATAAGAACGAGTGTACAACTCGCCATCAGGAGAGGTGTCCCACAAGGCGACACATTCTCCCCAATGCTCTTCTGCTTGGCGATCGCCCCTTTATCGTTTTACATTGACTCAAATTCGAGCCCGTACGAATTCTCGAGGAGCAATGGTGCCGAAATTACGCCCATCACACACCAGTTCTACATGGATGACTTAAAGCTCTACAGTCACTCAAGCTTCAGCCTGGAGCAAACAATTAGAGGATTGGTTGAGGTGTGCAAAAATATCGGCCTAGCACTTAATACTAAGAAGAGCGTGATAGCGCACTTTGGATCGAGAGCAGAGAGAGCTGCCTCCATAATACCAGTACTAAATGGCTCGGATGTATACAAGTATCTTGGACTTGAGCAAAGGATGGGGATAACCTTTGCGAAAGTCCTTGAAAGAATATGTGAGATCACGCTGGATCGTACAAAAAGAATCTTCTCATCAAGTGCAAGTCACGGAAAGAAAGTCTGCGCCTACAACATGACTGTAGGGCCAGTGATCCGCTACGCTATCGGAAACATGTTTCTACACGACCGGTATGCGCGTGGAGGCACCAGCACCGTGGCCTGCAGGGGGCTTGATGAGAAAGTTAGAAACATTCTAACAAATCTACAGGTCCGTTTTGCTAAGTGTCCGGTCTCACAACTGTACGCTTCCACAACCATGGGAGGATGGGGTCTCGCCAACCTCGAAGAAACCGCAAGTGAGAGCATTATTTATGCCTACTGCTACCTTGCGGGAACAAGAGCTCTGAGTGAGTACTTCAAACTACTCTCAGGACAAGCTCGGAGGCAAAAGCGGTCGCTAGTGACTGACTTTGAAGGAATTATGAGAAGGCCAGAATGTCAAGGATTGGACATTAGCAGGTCAGAAACGCTGAACGGTATAGTACTCAGCCTAAATGGAGTGCCATACGCGACACCAAGACTTCTAGCTCGTGCAATAACCAGTGAGTTTGATAAAAGGAATAATCTTCGAAGACAGGTTGAACTCCGCGATTTATGTGGTAATATCACCAGAGGAACGAACATAGTTCCGCACCTGTCATACCTATGGCTTAAGACCGGAGCCATAAACTCAACATCAGTCCGGAACCTGTCTTCCCTGATGTATACGGGCTTGCACACGCGAGCACACCCGGCAATGGGAAGAGGACCCAACGCTGGATGTCGCTACTGTGGGCTGCCCGAAACAAACGAGCATGTTGCAACGGGGTGCAATAAGTTCAAGGCAAGTATTATGAAACAGCGTCATGACAGCGCTGTCCGGAAAATATACGATGGTCTGTGCATAAAATACGACCTGGCGAAAACTGAATTCGACCAGCCAGTCCCCGTAACTCAACAGAATGCTCATGTTGAACTTTACTGGGACAGAACATGGGTGACGGAGACTCAGATAAGAT